GGCATTTTCTGATTCCCTTCATACGTAATTGAATGCCAGGCTTTACATTAAAATATAAGGCCAGTAAGGGCAGCAGGGACTGACTTGTTCAGTGCTGTGTTCTCAGCACCTAGAACAGTGCGTGGTGTAGGACATTAGCAAATCTCCTGTGCTGGAGTCTCCAGATCTGCTGGGAGTAGTATATCCTTGGGAGAAGTTGCTTGCCCTTGGAAAGGGACTTGAGAGCATAGCAAGGAGCTGGTAGTCTCTGCAGCCTCTTTAACCAGGGAAGGAAAACCAAAGGAGAAAATGGCTCTTTTGAGTAGAGAACCCAAGACAGTTCCAAGAGGCAGGGTCCAGAACAAGTCACGAGGCTGGAAAGCTGTTCCTGCTGCTCTGATATCACAAGTCAGCATCTCTGGGCAGAGAAGGGCTGGCTGACCGCTGGAGCAGGATCTCTCCCCTTCCTGAAGCTTTTCTCCTATGAAGGTCAGGCACTTGCCTAAAGAAGGGAGGCAAACCCTGTTAGCTTCTCTAGCCTAATCTCAAAAGCACTCAGCATCTTTATTTAGTATAACCTAAGGCCCTCATTCTGTACCTCTGACTCAGTGGTTCTTAAACTTGATGGTGATAAGAATTTATCTGGGAGCTTTTATAAATGAAGTGTAAAAAACATACAGAAAAGTGCACGCATGTGTAGAGTTTAATGAATTTTCACAAAGTGAACAAATGGGTAATTCCCAGGTCAGGAACCCCTGCCGTAGAGCTTCTGCTTCATAACATGAATGATGAGAAAGCTGGTGTCTAGTTTACAGTGCCACACAGGTGGTTTATATGTATAACTGGTTTGAAAACCACTCCTGGAAGTCATATAATTTCTTTTGTCATAAGTGGAATTAAGAGATGCTTTACTCCCAGTTCTTGGTTCTGCACCAGGAATTGTCTGGCTGGATTTACCCAAAGAGCAGAGAGCACTTCCTGTATCTGGGGTCTGCAGAGCACATGGGTGGCTCAGGGAGCCCAGATGGTTAGTTCCAGCCTGGGCATATGGCCCTCTCTTCCTGGCAGGAGGTGCATGAGGAGGTGTTTTTGGAAGGTGCAGGAATTCTGTAGCCATTTGGAAAAGGCCAGCTCAGAGGCTGGGCTTGATTCTCATTTTAAAATGATGATGTGGCTAAGGGGCCTGACCTGGCCAGTTTTCCTGGATCTAGGGGTAGGGAAAGTAAGGAGACATGCTCATTTTTTTCTTTTTCTTTAAACTGTATAACCATTTTCTTTTTGTCTCAAAGCCATTTATCCCACAGCTTCAAGAAAATTGTGAGGTGCCTCCTGCAGCTCATTGGCTCTTCATTGCTTTCTATAGGTACGTGTTTCATCTTGTCCCAAGTCATCTAGGGCTTTGGGTCACGTTAAGGCCAGTGAAAGTTTAACCCTAATTTCCCATCAAGGATCTTTGGCTCTGGAGCCCTTACCTGCTGTCTCCCTGCCCTTCCACATGGGACCCTGAGGGCCAATGATTCTCTTTCCTCCTTGCTTTGCCCTGGTAGCCTTTATGGATAGATGCAGCTTTTGCTATTAATCTATCCATTCACCCACCCATCCTTTCATTAAACTAGTGCCAGGCTCTGTGCTGGGGACAGGATGGAAAGTAGGACAGACAACCATCTTCTGTCATCGCCATTTCTCTCTTTACCTTTGAGAACTCCCTTTGTCCCCACTTCTCCACTTTGTCCCACAGCCTTGTCTGTGCTCCCTGAAATATCTCTGCTCCTTCACTTGCATTGCAAAGGTAATCCGTTTTCCCCACTTTCATTTTCCAAACTGCTTGCTCCTGACCCATATTTCCAGCTCCCTTTTGCAGGGACAGAGAATAGAACAGTAGGGCCTGGCAGGAGTCCTTCCCCATTTTTCCATTTTTGAGGGTCTTCCCATCCCTTCCACCTCTCACCTCTGCCACCATCCTCTCTCTATGCCAGATCCTGGGAGGGAAATGCCATGAAGGAGACCTGCTGCACTGTCTTTCCAACAACCAAAACAAAGCCAACAACCCCCCAAGATAAAAGTGTTAAAGGGCAGGGCAGCCTCTTTAGTCCTCCTCAAAGCTTGAACATTCCTAGGTGTGTTGCACAGAGATTTTTCCCTCCAAGGAGGTGAGATTACTGTAGTAAAGAGTCCTCACTTACCCTCGGCCAGGACTTCTTCCTGGAAGAAGCTGTGCAAAGGCTGGCCCGGTGGGCAGCAGTTTCTGGGCTCTCACTAGGTATAAGCAAGCACTTCTCTGCTTCCTCTCTTTCTTGGGCCTGCCAGAACTGGCTAGGCTGTTGGGAAGAAAAAAGCTCTGAGTCCTTTGATCTGCTTATTGGTCATGGGTAGAAGCTGTCTATGCCCCCAGGTGAGGTTATCTAGGTCTGAGCTGATCATCTGGAAGAGGTAAAGCTGAGGAGGGAAAATAGATACAGTGTATTCAGAATATGTATACTCAATATGAGGCTTATTAAATTACACAAAGCAATATATATGTCATGTGAACCAGATGTTCATATAGGCTTGAGCAGTGTGTTTTCCAGAAGAAAGTTCTTCTCTTGAATAAATTACAAATTTACTCAAGCAATAAGTAATCCAAGCACATGGCACAAAATTTCAAAACATGCCGAAGAGTATATATATAGTGAAAAATAAGTCTCTTTCCCACCAGCTGTTGCCAATTTACTGTGCATCTTTCTGGAGAGTGTCTGAAAATCATAAGCATGTGTGTGTGTGTACCTAAAAAATTACAAATGGGCATATTATGTACACTTTTTAACTTTGTTCTTTCCACTTGTGTATATTTGGAGTCTTTATTCTTAACATATACTGTGTGGGTTGGGATAGATTTAGAAAGCAGAAAAAGCTTGCTGTCAAATGACTGTTTCAAATTAAGTAGCTCCTTGCTTCCAGCTGTTTTCTACATACAGTGTGGCACCTGGGCCACCTGAAGCTGTCTTGTTCAGGGAGACATCCTGCCACACAATAGTCAGGGAGCCAACCTTTCTGCCAGTTTTCACTGAAGGTATTCGTGTTGCCTGTTCTAACTGAATTTCTTCTCAGTTCAATGCAAGTGATACAAGCATCAGCCCTTACCTGGCTACTCAGTTCTATTTCTTCAAGTTTTGTAGATGGGTGAAGTACTTTCTGGGCAGTGTGGAGGTTATCTCAGAGAACTGCATTTCATTTCAGGTTGGCGAAGAGAGGCAGGGGCTGTGCTTCAGGGATTAACGCCCCGTGGTGCTGGCAGTGGCTTCAGCATTACTCAGGTCCTGGTGAGCTTTTTTCCTGAAAGTGTCTGGAATGCAGGAAGTGGAGCAGGACAAAGCCCTTAACTTTAAAAGACTGGTTAAATGACTAGGAGGCAGCCCTCAGGTCTGTCTATAATTACCTGGTAGAGAGCTAGCTCCTTCCTTCTCTTTCCTCTTGCTCTCTGCCTGCTGACCTTGTTCATTTTCTTTTCATGAGTTTTGTAATACCAGTGGTCCATTTCTTCTACCCAAAATCAGATTAGGTTAAATCAAACCTTCTTCTTTTACTTTAAACGTTCCAAAGAAAAATATCATGGTGGGTATTTCTTTAAATTTTCTCAATTAAATTGCTTAGGAGATTTTGCCAACTGAATATGAAAAAAGTTACATATACCCAGCCCTTGTTCTTAAAGAGGCACCACAGCCAGGGGCATCAGAGGTTTGTTATTTCATTTGATCTTCTGAAAAAAAAATCCACTTTATTAACATATAATCCACAGAACATAAAATTCACCTAATTATACAATTCAATGGTTTTAGTATATTCACAAAATTGTACAGCTACCACAAGAAATTTTAGAAAATTTTCATCAATAATCTCCAAAAGAAACCCCATACCCGTCAGAAGTCACCATTTTCCCCCCAATCTTCTCAGCCCAAGGCATCCACTAATCTAGTTTCTGTCTCTATGGATTTGCCTATTCCAGATAGTTCATATAAATGGAACCATACAATATGTGCTCTTTTCTGACTGGCTTCCTTCATTTAACATAGTATTTTCAAGATTCATCCACATTGTAGCACGAATCAGAACTTCATCCCTTGTTATGGCTGAAAAGTATTTCATTGTATGGGTAGGCCACATTTTGTTTATTCATTATCAGTTGATGGACATCGGTTGTTTTCACTTTATTGGCTATTTTGAATAGCGTGGCTATGAACATTCATGTTCCTTCACAGCATTTCTCTAGGGTATATAGTCTATGTAGTTCTGTAAATAACAAAACCCATTCCAAGATGGTAAACAGGAATTTTGAATACAGCTGTTCGGAGTTCTGAGCCCATGCTTTTTCCAGTCGATGTTCACAGAGTTGAAATAATTGGCTCGACAGGTGAGTAAGGAAGGAATTTAAAAATCTGAGCGTCTTTCAGGTGTGGCATTTCCGTGCCCTCCCCAGAGCCTCCTTCCCTCTTTGCCCTTTCTCCTTTCCTAGTTCTCAGTTCTTTCTCTCAAGCATCAGTTCCTTGCTCCTGTGGTCGGGACAGAATCTCCTGTCACTCATTTACACTTCTGCGTGGAATGAATTATTATACGAATTTAATATTTGCGAGTTATCTTCAATGAGAGAAAAGCTCCTCCGCCAGCAGTCAGCAGCGGGCACAGAGGTGGTATTGGAGGCGGTGGACAAGGTGAAGGAGGATTTCTTGGAAAAGCTCATTTTCTGGTCCTGTCCTAGAGCTTCATGGCCGACCGCTACCCGCTGTGGTCGACCCCAGCGCGCGGTTCCCCTCCACCTACGTCACGCGCGCCACCCCGTTGGCTACAACTTGCTCAGGAAGGTGGCGGCCTGGGAGCCCCAGCGGGGAGCGCGCATACGCAGGGACGCGGGGCCGCCCACCCGGCTGCGACGTTAGACCCATCCGGTGCCTCAGCGCCCGCCAAACCAGGCGCAATTCCGACACCCGCCTCTCTCGGTGGCAGCCAGCTAAACTCACGAATCAGAGTGGTCCACACATCGCCGGGGCCGGGCGCCCAGCAGCCAATCGTATCACCCGTGTGATCCCGCGCCCGCGCGGAAGGCTGGCTGCAGGCGCTAAGGCGGCGTCGCCGGGAGTCGCTGCTAAGGCGGCCGCGCGCGCCGGTCGCGTTGGTGCTGTTCTGCGGGTCCGTGCCGGGCTGGCAGCAGCTGGAGTCTGGTGGGGAGCGCGGGCTCCCGGGACTGGCGAATGGTCCCAACCTAGGGCGGTGCGAGAGGCGTCTGAGCCCAGGATGCTGGGGAGACGGCTCGGCGGCTCCTCACTCATCCCAGGTAAGGGGAACGCCGCTCTCGCTGCAGCTCGGCTGGCCTCCAGCCGCCGCCCACCTGGCTCCGAGCTCCGGCCGGCTCTGCCCTGGCAGACCTTGGCCGCGCGTCGCCTCCTTCCCGCACATTAACGTGGCGGTCCCGGGCAGATGTCCAGTCCTGCCTCCCTAGCGCGGCGCCCGGTGTCCCGGCCGCCTGGCCCCTGCACCCTCACCCCTTCTCCCAGCGCCCGCGTTTTTCCCGGCCGCGGGCTTCCTCGTCGCCCGGCTAGTGCCTGCCGATGTGGGCCTCCCGCCCGTCTCCTCTCTTCCTCATCCTCCCCTCCCTCTTAGGGTGATGGCACCGTTTCTCGGTTCCCGCAGTCCTTTGGGGCACCTTCCGGAGATGAGACCCCTGTCCGGCCAGGATCGGACTTTTGCCCTCACCTCTACTTGGTCTTCGCTTCTGCAGGCTCATCCCCACCCTGACCCTTAAGCATCGTTTTCTACATTTCAGTCGTGCCCTCCTCCCCATGTGCCCCGGGGTTTTGCTCTTTTACCCCCAGATGCCTTCCTTTCACAGCTTAACCTCTTTTCCCCTCATTTTCATCAACCACTGTTGCTAGCACTTCTTTTCATTACACCTAAACCTTCAGACAATCGAATACTCTCCTGAATGTCAAATCTAGTTTTAACATCTTAATTCATATTTAAATAAGCCGTATCCATAACTTATAAAGTGCCTTGCCCAGAGTCTGGCACACATTAGACCTGGCACATGGTGGATGCTCACGTGTGTTAGCCTCTTCCAACTTCCAGACCTATGTACTCTCGAGATGGTGGTAGCAAAAGGTCCAGTATCCAGAGGGATTTGACCCACTACCTGAAGAGTGAGTGGTATGGGAGGTGGCAGGACAAATTCGTGAACTTCAAGTGTGATAAAGAGATTAAATTGTGAATTATTTACTCACTGCATTTATTCAGAAGAAACCAAATTATGTTCTCTGTTTGTGTCATATGTTGCATTTATGTTAACTGACTTTGTAAAGGATTCTTAGCACGCTTTGCAATGTAATTACCTCCTTGTCCCTACTCCCCGTGCTGTAATGGTGTTTACTGAACCTTTCTTTTTAGGGAAGAAAGAGCCCTACCTTCTAGCTGAAATAGCATTGTATCTAAGAAGTATTTCGCTTGTTTTTATCTCAGCTGGATAGTCTAGTCCTGCAGTGAATTTTCATCCTTTAAAAGCCTGGAGGAATCAGGTTTAGATTTCTTGGAATCAACTGCTGAAGAGAGAAAAAATGCTTAGTCGTGAAAGTTTTTCTTTCTCTCCTTTTCTCTAAGAGTGCAAGAATAATTATCCCCTGCATCCCCAAACACACACTTTTTCTGGCTATTGGAGGAAATAGCTACAGTCAATATTTTAAAAGAGTTAAATAAATTTGACTTTTAAAAATTATAAAACCAATGTCCTGGCCTCAAGTCATTCTTGCCACTTTTGTCCTGATGGTCTCAAAGGCTGTATGAATCAAACAGTTGAGTTTTTCTGCTCCTGGAATCTCCAGAGCAGGCTGGAGAAAATCATGTAATGGAGGTGCTGTTACTGTTTTAAACTTCAGGATTCTAACTCTAGTCTTACTGCCTGCAGATGCTTTGACTTACTCCCTAGGTTTCTCTTTTGTACTAAAACCTAAATGGCTGTTTGTACATTTTTGCCATTCTCAGAGTCTAACTTTTTGTCCTACTCTTGACTTCTCCATTGCTTATTTTACTACCTACTTCACAGAAGATATCAGTGGGCATCAGCCGACAACTCAAGGGTCTGTCATTTTTCTGTGTGCCTGTATTCTTCTGATTTCTGATCTCCTTTCCTCTTCTCAGAGGAAGTGGGGCCCTCTTTTCTAAAGCTAACGTCTTTCATCTCACTGAAAGTTCTTGTTTCTTTTTCTCAGCCTATGCATACATGCTCAGGTTTCCATTATCCGAAACAAAACCAAAAACCTTATCTTGGTGCTTCCCTCTTTTTTTCCCTCTGATTTACGTGGTAATACTTAGGGTTTCATTTTTTGTTCTTTTCTCTGTTCTCTAAATTTCCTTGTGTAATTACACTTCCTTTCTTGGCTTCAAATAGCATGCATATTTTCGGTTTTCAAAGATGTGTATTCAGTTGGACTTCAGGTGTTCTTTTTTTCATCTGTCTGTTGGAGAATTATACTTGGATACTTGGTACTTCAAACTTGCACATATACAAACACTTCTTTTCCTATTTTAAGGTCTTTACCCTAGAAACCTTAGAATCCTCTTCTCTCCTCACATTAAGTCCAGATATAATCACATAGATCTGATTGTGCCTACCGGAAATCTTTTTCTTTCTCTCCTTATTGCCAAAAGTTTGGTTGAGGCCTGGGTGATGTTTTTCCTGAACAGAGTCTGTCATTTTCAATCCAGGCACTACTGTAAAATCATCTGGGGAGTTTTTAAATGGTAAAGATGAAGGGATCAAGGCACCTGCAGAGATTCTGATTGTAGGTCTGGTGTGGGGCCAGACCTTGTCATTTAAAAAAATGCTTCCTATGTGATGCTAATAGGCAGCTAGGGCTGATAGCTGAAAGAAGGAGTGATGGAAACCCCGAGGAACTCTAGTATTTAATTCACCCTTAAAAAATCAGGATAGATGTTTTGTTGGCACGTTAGCTACTTACTTGCAGGTACTTTGTACACCTACCTATTAAAGTATTTAACACATTTTAAAGAAGTTATTTCTCATGGCCCTATTGTTCTCATGCCTAGAAGTTCCTTGAGGCCTGGGAGGTAAACTATTTCTTAATACAGTATTCACAACACCTTGGACATCCAACTGTGTGGATTTTCTCCTCACATTAAGCAATTCAACAATCTGGGCACCAAGTGGGTATCCTACAATTTAACCCAGGTTATGCCACCGACTACCTGGGGTTAGTGCAGACAACACACATTAAGAACTCACTGCTGAAAGACTGCCCTGCACTTCAGATGCCTGACAGAAGTCCCAGCTTGTGACCTGTATTTCTGACCAACTGGCTATATTTTGGGACTTCCCACAACTTCCTCAGGTAAATAATTTGCTAGAATGGTTTCTAGAATTCAGGAAAGTTCTTTACTTGCCATCATCTGTTTATTATAAAAGGTATGATTCAGGAACAGCCAAATGGAAGAGAAAAGCACAGGGCAAGGTATGTGGGAAAGGGCATGGAGCTTCCATGCCTTTTTTAGGGGTGTCATCCTCCCAGCATCTGGATGTGTCCACCACCTGGAAGCTCTCCAAAACCCTGTAGTTAGGGTTTTTATGGAGGCTTCATTCACTCTGTAGGCATAATTATTAAATCAACTGCTGCTGATTGCCTCAGTCTACCATCCTTTCCCCTTCCCTGTGGTCAGGGGTTGGTTCCTCTGGCAACCAGCCCCTATTCTACCAGATAGGTTTGAAATGGGCTTATTATGAATAATAAAATATGCTCATCTCATCCCTGTGAAGAAATTCCAAGGGTTGTGGGAGCTCTTTGCTAGGAACCAGGGGTGAAGACCTAATACATATTCTGTTCTGTAATAATTCTTACATCACAATACCTTATTTATCTTTTCATCACCTCCTTGCACAGTATTTTGTATGTTTTCAAAACTGATAAAAATTGGTTGAATGAATCAGTTGGTAAATAATGTAAAACAGATCTTGAATTCAGTTTTGCAAGCTGACCAGCTGTTTCTTTCTTGGCTGCTTAACAGGTCACTAGTCATACTCACACATTCATTCTTTTTTTTAAAAACATACACACTTTTTACAAGTTCGAGTGGATTAAATATCATTTGCTCTTATGATTTGGCTTTTAAGATGGTTAAGTTGTGACAGCATTATAGAGGGTTTGTTCAGGTTTTCTTTTTAGCAGATATTATTTCAGATGGTTGAGGCACATCTATCTTGTATCTTTTTTAAACAAATATTTCTTATTTTGGGTGCAAAAGCTTTGGAATTTTTAATTAGAACAAAAACTGTCAGATTGATAAAAGATATTGAACTCTGGCAGAACTGTTTCTTTTTAACTAGGGGAGTTGAGGTAGGGAATATACATTAAGCCATCTACCTATGTACTATCATTGGCATTGGTGATGACAAGGGAGGAAACCTATAATTTTCAAACATTTAATTAATTACTGTTATAGGGAAAACCTGTAATTGCTCATTTAATGATACCAGCATATTTTGTAATTCTTCAGAGCTAAGATATAAACTGTGGAAGTCATCTTCTTTTGTTCTTTAGTTTTCTTAAGATTTTGTCAGCTATTTCTCTCTATAGAATTTGTGGTTGACAGTTCTTTACATTGATCATTTGAAAAATATCCCACTTCTTTCACACCTCCATGATTTCAGACAACTATCTCCTGCATTGTTCAAGGGTCAACTTCATTCCATTTTATAGATATAACACATTTTATTTATCCCTTAAGCAGTTGATGGGTGTTTGGATTTTTTCCACTTCTTGGCTGTTATGAAATCTTGGCACTCATTGAAATTCATGTTTCCCTATAGGTAATGTATCCTTTCTCCTAGGCTGCTTTAAAGGTATTTTTCTTTGTTTTTAGTTTTTGGAAGTTGAATTGATATGTCTTGGCATTAATTTCTTTGGGTTTACCCTTTTTGGAGTTATGTTAGCTTCTTGAACTGTAAGTTAATGTCTTTTGCCAAATTGGGATCTTTTCAGCCATTTCTTAGAGTAAGTTTTCAGTACCACTCTCTTTTTCCTTTTTTTCTGTGACTCTGATGATACAAATATAATAAGCTCTTTTGTTATTGTCCCACAGGTGAGGCATTATTCTTTTTTTTCTTCCCTGTGTTCAGATTGAGTAGTTCCTACTGTTCTATTTCCAGTTTCAGGTTCACTCACTCTTTCTTCAGTCATACTCGTTCTGTAGTTGAGCCCATCTAGTGAGTTTTTGTTTTGGTCATTTTATTTTTCAGTTCTATAATTTCCTTTATTTTTCCTAAATTTTCTA